AAAAGGTGATTTTCGAAGCAGATAAAATGAGCCAAAATCGTATAATTCCTGATAGTGATGAAGAGTTAGGCAGTGAGGAGAATTTATTTACTGATGAGGAGGAGTTTATTGGTGATGTGACATTTGAAGAAAATGGAAATAAAATATTCTCCAATGAAGCAACAGCAGGATCGCCAAAAACTCCGCAGAAGAGAATCCGTTATGATGATTTTGATAACAACAACGAAAATCTTCCATCAGATATTTTAGAAAATGCCCAAAAGGTCAAAAATCAGACGCTACCAACAACTTCTATAGAAAAATATTACGTTTTGTATCATATTTTTTTATAATTATAACTTTCTTTTTTTTGCGAATTCTTAATGATTTTTAAAAATTGTATTTTGTAATTATTATAATTAATTTTTTTCAATTAAAAATACTTTACAAGTTTTTTGAACTACATATTCAATGAATATAATTAATTTTTTCTCCAGAAGTTCCGCATAATTTTTAAATCACACTTTTTTATAATTATTTTTTTAAATAAATGTGATCTTTTTTCTTCAGTGGNATAATTTTTAAATCACACTTTTTTATAATTATTTTTTAAAATAAATGTGATCTTTTTTCTTCAGTCTTGCGGGCAGTCTTGCGCAGTCGGGCGGCTGCGCCGCCCTCGTGAGTAACCGCCTGCTTTCCGCACTAGTTGCGTAATGTACTATTTCTTGAGATATTTCTTTCTTGGAACAAGTATTGTATATTTGAACCAATTTCAAATAAATAAGATCTTATGGTGAATATCAATTATTTCTCCTTGAAATACCTTAACTTGAATTAAATAAAACAGTCCTTGGCCTTAAGAAACATGTATTCACCACATAAATGGAAAAGTTATATTTTTTTTAACCTAATATAATTTCCATTCGAGAAATTTTCTATTTTCATGAATTGATAAAAAATTCGTACCTACGAGATGATTGCAATGAGGAATGAATTGAATCTTGTTTTCTCGAATGAAGTGGATGTTTAAATTGAGCTTTCCGTACATCGCATTGAACGAAATTTATGATATCCAAGTTTGTGTTGAATTGCCATAATCTGTGATTCTGTTATTGTAAACTGATGCGATGTTTTTTAGTCAAGAAATATAAACTTCTTTCAACTCAACGACATCTTACTATAATCTCAAAGCTTTTACCGCGTAACAATATTCATCCTGATTCGACAGACGAGATGCTCACTTCAATTATAATTAACTTGGAACAACGTATAATCCTGTTGATTGAGGTAACAACGTATTTAGTCATGAGAATAATTTTGATTTTTGAGTAAACCAACGAATTTCTGGAGTTAGCAAACTTTTGACTAGAAAGAAATCAAATACTCTCATTATTACGATAAATAAAAGTAACTTCAATTCTAGAGAAGTTGAATGTTTCCCAATAACATATATCTCCAGAAGAGACAACCGGTATTCACTGTGAAATCATGTTTATTTGAAAATTAACCACCAAATGATAGTTGGTTCAAATAAAATTCTCTTGATAACGTTATTTTTTTCTGTCAGTATAGCGTGAAAGGATTATTCTGAAAGAATCGAATGCTTACAGCCTGTCTAATATCGTTATGAACCACGTAAAAATTTGATTCAAATGAAACTGACAAAAAAAATACAAATTTGATGTTTTAGAAATGATCGATTTACTCTAGAAAAAAATTGGATTTAAATTTTCTAGTCTGATAGTAACTACCGTCGAAGTTACATGGGCACTTAAGACAGAATTTCAACAGTCTCATGATGCGCAAAAAACATAAAATTACATTTTTCGTAGAAAATTTTCAGAGTTACCAAAAATTTCTTTTTAATTTTCTCATGACTGGCCTGTATACCTTATTACAGAAATGTTCTACTAAAAAACGATCAATAATACGAATTGTTGAGTCAATGCAGCCATTTCAATTGAGAAACTACACTACGTCTAGATTCATAAAAATTAAACATCACGATTACACGGAAGACGAAAAACTAAAGATATAGAAATAGGTTTTTATAATACAATTATCCACAATATGAAATTAAATTCTACACACAAAGTATTTGAATACAAAAACACTTGTTAAAAAATCACAAAATATTCACCGTCTTGTTATAGTAGAATAATTATAATTGTTACTGAGTTTGGAAATGGCTTTTTCAAGCTTATCTAGACGTATCCAATCGTTCTATATCCTGCCCTGAGCGGGGAAGTGTCAGTAGCAGTAATTGGCCATTGAATTGATACTACGATAAGAAATACTGCGAATATCGACTATGTAGTATCACATCCAGATCACAATTGTATATTTAGAGGACGTATTCCTTGATCGTTATCTTTTATAAATGAATTATAGTGAATATGAAGTATCAATCGTTTTAAAAGATATAAAATGAAGAGCAAGGGAAAATAAAAATTTATTAACAATTGGTTTCTGCACGTTTCCGAATTTTCACGGATGAATCGTATCAATTTTACACATTTATGCATTATACAACTGTTACATGAACCGTAATAACAACCCTCGGATGCATCCTTGTGACAAGGGAAGAGTGGATACATCCGAGCGTTCTTACTATTGTTTATTTCCAATATTTATTGACATTCGAAAGTATTGGCTTATAGGGCTCCTTGATTTCTCACTCTTCTTCCAAATTGAGTGATCACTCGGCCACTGTTATTTAAACAGATTCACGATCTGTTTTTCTTAAGTTTAGCATATGCTTGGCATTGAAAGGTCAAAATAGGCTTGACGAAATAGATTGCTGACCGAAAATATTTCACCCGTTTGTTAATAGAGGATTGACACGAAAATTGGTGGACAGTTCTTAGCAAAAGCTTACATTTTCACACTTGCAAAATGGGACCAATTTCACTGTGAGATACACCTAATTTCACAAGCCTTACAATTTGAATTTTTCATCGTGAGGATTGTTAAAAATCATTTCACAATTTTTTTCTCAAATCTAAACATAATAAAAACGGACATTCCGTACTTTTTAGTGGATAAATGAATACATAATTATCAAAAATATTATGTATAAATCACTAGCCAAACATGCGTGCGCATAGCGCGCCCCCTTTTCTAGGTAAACAAAATGGAATCGCTGAATAGTTTTTGACATATTTAAGAAAATAGATTTCGATGTAAAGTTGAATATCCCCTGAACTAACCATCCGTTTCAGCCCATCTTCAATGCGAAAGATTATAGTACTCAAAAGAAACTTCATGCCAAATTTCAAATTAATATGTCAATTTTTCTAGTTTCAGTGCGAACAGACATTTTGCGCGAAAACCGAAACATGGAAATATTTTGAAAACTTTGTACGAACGGCTATGCATATTTTGATTGGTTGATATAGAAGATATCAAGACCAATATTTTGAAAAAAAAAATTAAAATTGGCTGAATAGTTTTCGAGATTCTACATAATTTTCAAGCAAAATTCGAAAATCTGAAAATAAAACGATTTCAATGCTTCCATACAGAAGCAAAAATAGGACGCGAATACACAAAATCTCCTAAACATTTTAATCGAAAAATTAGACACCTGTGTTTCCTACCCTTGCGTAATTCAGTGCAAAAGTGAAACTTTTGAAATGTGTAATGCATAAATGTGCAAAGTACTTCAATGTCGTCAAAATAAATGAATATAAAAATCCGTTATTTTTCCATTCGTGTGAAACAAAAAATTACGAAATTAGACATGTGAAACTTGTTCAAATTTTCAACATCC